AAATCCAATGCAGGAGATCTTGGAACGGGCAGTTACTACATCGCAGATTGAGGAGGGGGATTGTATGATCTTCTCCGATCCATGCTCATCGGTGGTGGTTTCGGAGCTTTTCGTTCAGTGAATGCCGTGTTCGGTCGGGCTCCCACGAAGCGGGGTGATGGAGACCGGCCGTGTGGCCCGAGGATGAATGGGGTCGGGAGCAAAGCCGAAGGTTGGGTAGGTTAAGGATTCGATGTCAAATTAGTTCAATCCATCGGGCATTTGTCTCATTTATGAATATCAATCTTTGAGAGTTCATTCTCAAGATGTAATACGGGCAGCCAATTACCGTACTCATTTGCTGATGACAATGTGTCACATAAAGATTTGTCTACTAGGAATCTCGTTGGTCAAGCGCTTAGTCACAGCGTATTTCATAGAGACCGGAGACAGGTTGAGAATCCCCTCATCATCCTCTCCCGTAGCTCAAGTTCAGCTCGAGCAGCATTCCACGAAAGAATACATAGGCAGACTACCTAGGTATGATTCAATAGCTCAATTGAACTTTGACAAAGTTTACTTCTTGTTGGGGAATTCCCTTGCTATATCCGGCCATATTTCTAAGCAGAAACAGCCCCTTGGTGACTAATGCTGAAAGTCTGTGCGCCCCGGCACTGCGTATAGCTCCCTTTCTACACACCTTAAAGGCTTTAATGGCCAAGATTGTTCGTCCGCGGAAATAACTTCGTGGGGCAGATGCGATTCACTGGGGGATTTTGCAAAGTCTCATTGTTTCTAAGCGCAATTCCAAGCCCACCCACGGGTACCTTAACTTGACCAACCTTTGTTCTCGTCCATGGCGTCTACCCACTTGAGCACGCGATTTCTCAGCAACAGCTTGAATACCAGGTTACTAATCCCACGTGTTGTTTCAACGTCTCTTTCTCTCGACTTAAATTCGTCTTCATTCCGTCATTCATCGCGGGAATACCACTCTGAGAAACACTCTCAACAACGTCGTCTCCTGTCTCCATTCTCAACTACAACTCCCCCAAACACCCAATTGAGACCGATATCCTACACAGCAACAATGGCAGGCACCATCCGAGCTCTCGTCTCTCAAGGCGACAAGACCGCCAAAGTCCAAGAGGTACATAATGTCATTCAGATGCCCCTCAACCGGTCCCCTTTCTCATGTACTAACCACCATCCCAGGTCCCTAAGCCTCAACCCGGCCCAGGCGAAATTCTCGTCAAAATCTCCGCCGTAGCCCAAAACCCAACAGACTGGAAAGCCACAGCCGGCGCTCCCGCAGGCCGCACCGTCGGCTGTGACTTCGCCGGCACCGTCGCCGACCCCAACGGCTCCTCCCTGAAAGAAGGCCAGCGCGTCGCAGGGTTCGTTATGGGAACCAGCGACGAACCTCCCCGCGGCGTCTTTGCGCAGTACGCCGTCATCGAGAGCAGCCTCGTCTTCCCCATCCCTGAGTCCGTCACGGATTCCCAGGCCGCGGTTATTCCGTTGGCCTTTGCTACCGCTGTTCAGGCGCTGTTCCAGCGACTTGGACTTCCTGAGCCCACGAGCCCGAGTAAAGAGGCGCTTCCGGTGTTGATTAATGGCGGAACGGGCAGTGTTGGGTTGTATGCCATTCAGCTGGCGAAGGAGGCTGGATTGTATGTCATTGCGACAGGCGGCAAGAAGAATCACGAGCTCCTGAAGAGTCTCGGTGCGGATGTGGCGATCGATTACCGCGATGCCGACTGGATTGAGCAGGTCAAGAAGGCTGCGAAGAATGACCTGAAGCACGTCTTTGACGCCATCAGCGAAGTCGAGACCACAAAGGCAGTCGCGACGGCGCTCTCACCCGAGGGTGGCCACGTCGTCTGTATTTTGCCGCGCAAGGCGAAGGAGGTTGGCGCTCCTGAGGGAGTCAAGGTCGAGAGCACGTTGGTGTACTCGGTCTTTGGAAGGGCTCTTACGTATGGAAGCTTCGATAACATTGATGGAGAGAAGCCTGAGGACAAGAAGTTCTGGGAGAAGTACCTGGGGCTTCTGCCCAAGTGGTTGGAGGATGGCTCCATCAAGCCCAACCCGCAAAAGGAGTTTGGTGGTCTGGATGATATCAACAAGGGCTTTGAGTTGCAGGCCAAGGGTGGTGTGAGTGCTGAGAAGCTGGTCTACAAGATTGTTTAGACCGCCTGAGGATTGAGGAAACAAATAGCGATCGAAGTTACTGACTTGTGACTTTGGTTGAGGATATCGCACGTCATCATATGATATAATGAATATAATGTGAATAGTCCTTCACCGCCGTGGTTTCCTCTTTTGTTATTTTTGTTCTGCCTCAAGATCGCTCTTGCCTTTGGAACGGTCATCTCTCGCTCTTTCTTCCAGAATTAGGGCTTTCCTTTCTCACCACCCGATTCCTTTAAACTTCCACCTTTCCCATCTATACCCCCAATCTCGTCTTCCCACCCTCACCTTCTCACCTTTTCTTCCATCCTCTCGTCTTTCTTGTCGACCTCAATTTTCGACTCAATCGACCCATACCTTCATCATCCTACCTCCCTTTCCCTTGATGCCAACCGGTTCTTGATCATCTCACTTCATCCCCCATACCAGATCGCTTCTATTAATCATTGTCTCCGGAATTCTATCTATCAATCACTACAAAAGCCTTCAGCGATCTGACCGATCGACGTAAGTGATCATTGCTGTCCCTCTCTCATCCAATTCTCTTTCATATACTGACTGCCTTATCCCTTTAGCATGTCATCTTCTCACGGCCAGTCTCTGTGGAAGCCGGTGGTCACCTTCACCGTCCTATTGCCCCCCATTGAGCAATACTCGATGGCAGAGAAGGGCAGTGAAGGAGGCTACTGGGCTCTCCACGATCCCAACACTTATGCCAGCTGCAAGAATCAGCAAGAGCGACAGGAAGCCGAGCAGTGCCTGGCTTGTGGCAACCCTTCCACCCGGAAGTACCGCTGCCACTGCAAGGCGGCCAGGTACTGCTCTGCCCAGTGCCTCGAGGCTGACGACCTCCATGAGCGGCTCTGTGTGGGCCGTCAAGATGCCAAGACCAAGCCTGCCTTCAGCCTTCCCTTGGAGAGTCGACCATCTAACAACCACTTTCTCGCTGCGTTGCTTCCTGTAGATGGATCCAACCCTAAGCCCATCTGGATCTCCCTTCAGATGGATCGCAAGACTGGCAAGATGCGTTTTGCTACCGACGAGATCACCATTGCGAAGGCGGCTGCCAAGTCCAACGATAGCTCCGACCCTGACATCATTCACGTCGGTCTGAACTCGATCGCGACTCCCATCCAGAAGAGCCTACTTCACGGAGTTGACGCCATTAAGTTCGGTTCGTACAAGGATACTTCTCCCGGTAACCTCAATAGCTGCATCCAGAGCTTTAGCAAGCCTGGCTTCCTGGCCTGTTACTTCGGCGCTGTGGTTGTCTGGGCATACGATCTCGAGTCCAACGGAGCCTTCAAGTCACCCCGCGACTTGGGCGTGCGCGACCTTCGCCACGCTCTGGACTGTCACGTTCTCAATTCGGTAAACCCGGCTGTCTCTCAGCCCAGTCGATTCATCCTTGAGGGCGGTGTCATCCCGGCTCTCAAGATCAACGATCTCTCGGATCGTTGGTTGGAGGCTCTGGGCGTCACCCGCCAAATCGAGAAGGTCCACGTCCCTGCTTCACACCAGTATTTTGAAGCCTTCCCCATCGGAAAGCTTTTCCACCTTGGTCTTCGTTGGTATGTCCGAACTGGAGTTCCCATCGCGATTGCTCCAACGGGGGAGCTCCATGAGGACCATGAGGAGATCCTCAACCACTTTCGTCAAACCGTCCTTCTGGTTGCTTAGGAGGCACCTCAGAACACCGGCATGCGCAAGGCTCAGCTTCAGGTGGTTGATCTAAAACATTCCTCCAGTTTCCACCTGATGCAGGTTTGCGGAAAGCAGATCGAGCCCGCCCATCTCACTGCCGTCATTGAATACTTCAAGCTCGCCAGCGCCTCGGGAACCCCCACAACCGAGAAGGCGTTCCGCGCGTATTGGGACTACTTCAAGAAGAACGAGGTGATCAAAGGCCACCCGATGGCTGGAATCCCTTCGCCTTATGACCTTGAGACTGGCCATAGCCATGACCCCAATTCCACGGGTCTTGTAACTTTGCTCCAAGGTTACAAGTCCTATGAGGACTTTGTTGGGCAGGCCCCAGTCGCCAATGAACACGTTTACGGTGGTCTCAACGCCCCGAAGGGCGAGGTCTCAGTAGCCAGTTCGGCACAAGGCATCGAGCAGGCACTTGGCTTCCCGGCCGAGCGAAATTAGAACCCGGTTGATCGCACTTTCTGCTGTGAGTTTATTTTCATCTTTCACCTTGTTCAGAGACTGACAGTTGAACACAGCGTGCAATCAGACTACTTTGAGAACTTCATACACACGGGACGAGAGCGAGAAACGATTTGGAGAATTCGAATATTCTGGGGCAATCGGGTGATATGGAGAGTCGTTGAGACGACTGAGATGGACAGATACCTTCAGAAGACCGGAATTGAGTCTCTCATTATGCTGCGCACCTATACCTCATCCATGACTCCAGATTCCTTAAACCCTGAAAACGACAACTTTTGGCTTCGAAGATTAGACACAGTCAAACGCCCCTAGCCTTGCTGCTAACCCCAACGGCTAGCTTCATATGCCCTTTTCAACTTGAGGAATCGCGGGTGATTCCTCGGACTGACCCCCGTGACCTCCCCATCTAATCCTTTCCGAAACATCTCAAGACCATCTTTCCTCGTCGAAAGCCCAGACTGCCCATCCGGCACAGGTACAGCCATATATTCAGCATGTTTATCATCCTCCAGAGCCCACTCAAGCCCTCTCTCCCTCAAACATCGCAGCTCGTCCTCAAAAACCCCACCTCGACCAATCTGAAACGCCTCATCGCGCGTGAGGGCTTTCGCCTCGCCTACTTCTACGAGTCGTATCATAGTCGTGCTGTCGTGCTATTGAGGATCAAGGATTTCCGCGCCATCGAGCCAGTGAAAGAGTAAACTGCCTGAGCCGGAGTGAGCTCCCCAGGGGTTAATCCCAATGAGCTTGATCTCGAACTCGGGATCGAGGACCTCTGCGTAGACATCTAGGATGCAGCTCTTGAAGTTCAGATCAGATGCGATTCGTGACCAGAGGTGCCGCGCTTGAGATGCCAGCCTACCCAGCATCTCGTCTATGATACCGGCGTGATTTGGCTGATAGAACCTGCTCTGGCTGATGGCGACGATGTGGGCTTCATTGACGTAGCATCGCCACTCGCTCAAGCGGTCGAGGTCGGTGTAGTATGGGAAGAAGTAGACCTGGTTATCTGAGAATTTCCCGTTCTGACCAAGCTGATAGAACAGGCTCAGAAGTGCCTGGACGGTCCTTTTTGAAGAACCAAGCTTCACGATTGCTTCTCGCATGTTAAGTCAACATACCCACTTCCTGGCACCCCCCTGTTTCTGGCACCACAAAAACGATGGGATCACAACCCAACCTCCTCATTACTATTAACTATTGATCCTCAACCACACCCACTACAATACAGCTGCCAGCCTCACTAGGGCATTCAGAGTCGCTGGATTCAGCCGTGATAACCTCCTTTTCACCCGCTTCGATTTGAGCCCGATGGATATCCCTGATGTTCGCGAACTTCGTATTGGGATCG